CCCCCTCTTTCTGTATCTTGGCCTTTTTCCCAGTGGGTTGGAAACTTTTGAAATCCTGTATTTTCTGCTGCCTCTGCCACTGTTGCTCCATGTCTGATTCTCTGTATTTTCAACGAGCATAACCTGTATTTTAAGTTAATGCTATTGTGGTTGTTCTTGCCCCCTGTGGTGGCTTATGTGAAGGGAGTAATTTTGGAATTTTCCCCAATAAAATAAATTGATTCACATAAGAGCGTAGTCTTTTCCTTGGCCAGCTTAGCCTGATATAACCTGTTAAGTTCTATAACTTATAATGTCATGTACTTTTTTCCTTTTCCATTTCTCATTTTGGTCAAAAGTCTGAAAGTTCAAGATGCTACTATTAGTAGTGTAGTATTAATACTATTACTACTAAAAATAACTTAATATGACTACTAATTATGAATCTACTTGCCCTAGTGAAAATCCTTGTTGGCCTCTCCACACACTTCTAGATCAATTAGGATTTTCTCTTTCGTTTTTAATTTTTCACTTAAATAATTATTAAAGGTTTACTATATACTAGGCCATGTGATAGTTCCTGGTGATAAAATGGTGAGCATTTATATTAAGCAAAGAGATAAAAAAAAAAACAGAAGTAAAACTATTGGTTGTTGAGGTAAATGCTATAAAGTAAAAGGGTCATGGTGCTGTGAAGGCCTTTAAAGGCAGCTGGATCTGGTCTGGGGGAATGGAGGCTGCCTCGCAGAGGTGGCAACTCTTGGCTGAATTGAGAGGAGGAGGAGACAGAAGCTGGGTTTGGTTGGTGGAACTTGGAATTCACTATGGTCCTTCCAGAATTGAGAAAATTTAAATTCTTGCTACATTGTTACCCTTTTATACTCAGGGTTTACCTGATCATTCTAAGAGAACTTGTACTATATGCTTCCCTTTATGGAACTTTTTCAGATTGCCATCCTTCTTCAATTCTTGAATCAAGCCCAGCATCAGCAGGGTGATGCCATTCTCTGATAGGAAGAAGCAGAGTCAAAGTAAAGGTGTCAGAGCAGCATCCCTACTTCTAGATTTCCAGTCTCCTGAAGAGCTCTGTACCTGAAATTCTCTATCTTTGCAGCAATTGACATTCCTCTTGGTGTTCCCAGAACCTACCTACCGCAGTAGCCTGGTGTATAGTAGTTGCTCGGTTAATATCAGTTACATGCATGAACGAATAAGTGTAACATTTTATTTGTAGTATATCATCTTGCAAGATTGCTTTTTAACTATCCTTGGATAATTTTGTACAATGTGTATGAAATAGCCCATCTATTCACAACACTTGTTTTCCCAACTAGTAGATCAGCTCTTCTGAGATAGGTGGGTGGAGAGAGCCTTATAGAAGGAGTGTGATTAAATTGATGAGGGTGGTGATGTGTGAGCTTGCTGGAATGGCAAGCTCTCTGGGGTTCCATCATGGGAGGGACACAAAAGATAATGTGGAAGAGGCAGTAATGTAGCCATGTCCTAAAGGGTAAGTAGGTATTCACCATTCACCTACTGTGTTTAACAAAAAGGCATATTATAGCTCAATTTAAAGAAAACAAGTGGTTTAAATGTGCAGGTTCTAACTGGGGGACATTAGTCTCTAGATTGAAGTGCAGATAACCGTACCTACCTCACCTCATCCCTTTATGTGATGTGGATTAGCAAAAGGAGAATATGTGATTGGTGTGTGTGGGTTAGAGAGTTGGGAAAGAGAAAGAGATATGAATGGATTCAGGTAACTGAGCAGAGTCTGGTCTTTATGAACTATAATAGTGTCCCTCTGAGGACTGTATACTTCATGAGCCTTCTCTGTTCTTGGCTTTTAGGTCAGGCTGTCCCTGCAGGATCCCATGTGCGGCTGAATCTTCAGACTGGGACAAGAGAAGTGAAACTCCAAGATGAGGACAAGTTCCAAAATACTTTGAAAGGGTCGAAAAAAGGCAAAAGGTACAGTGTCAACCCTAAGGAGACTGACAGCGTTGATTTTGTAATACTGAAAGTAATGACAATGCAATGTTTCTTACCCAAATTCATGTGAATTTCAGTTAAAAAAATTGAAATTTAATAGCCTAGAATTTGATAAATCTCTTGGTTTTATGGAAGTTTATGGTCTTTGGAAAGAAATAGTTTGGAAAGCAAATTGATACTTTAAAAAAGGCTGTAGGGGGAGTGTTTAACCTGCTTTAAAAACGAAGCTATTTGTCCTAGTACTTTAAGAGCACCCATTTGAATCCCAACAATTAATACGCTGATTACAGATGAGTCATCTATTCATTAAAACAGGCCTGTTAGGCCTTCTGCTTTGCAGTAATACTTCCTTGGTGAACAATAAAATTGGATTTTAAAGTCTTTAATTCACTGACTTTTCTTCTTGTTAGTCCATATTAAAACAGGCTACCTTATAGTAGAAAAGGTCTCCAATGGTAAGAGGTTACCTAATTTTTAAATAACTAGTTTAGGTTATTCAGTTTGGGGCAATTTATAGTCTCTATTTTTTTAGAGACTGTTATTTGCTTCGAATTACCAAGTTTCCTTTGCTTGCTGTTTGCTGCATGAAGGAGGAGGAGGTTGAGACACGGGGTTTTGCAGGGCTGCTGGAACTGTGCAGTTTGAAAGGTTGATATTAATTCCATTCATGAAGTTTATAACACAGGGACCAGCAAATTATGGCTTGGGGGCCATATTGGAACTGCTGCCTGTTTTGTTTTGTTTTCTTTACAGCCCATAAGCTAAGTTATTTTTAACATTTTTAATGGTTGGAAGAAAACAAAAGAATATTTCATGATTCATGAAAATTGTGCGAAATTCAGATTTTAGTGTCTATAATGAAGTTTTTTAGGAATATAGCCATGTTCATTCATTTATTGTCTGTAGTTGCTTCTTGCTACACTGGCAGAGTTGAGTAGTTGGGACAATCACCATAAGGCCTACAAAGCCTAAAGATTGTCCGGTCATTACAGGTAGTTTGCTGCCCCTGTTCTAAAACATGTAAGTATTGGGAATCAATCATAGATTAGCACAATGTTACTCAGTCCTTGGAGGTTTATTATTTTAACAATATTTTGTAGCAGTTAGAAATGAGGCAGAAAAGGGACCTTAGAGACCCAGTTCTTACCTGAATCTTTTCCTTGATATACATGACAAAAAGATCATTCAGCCTATCCATGTGTACCGTCAGTCAGATGGCACTCACAACCCTAAAGAGCAGCCTGTTCATATTTGGGCAATTTTGACTGTTGGACAATTTGACTTTATATTGTGATAGATAAGGGGATATTTGTCCTCCTTGCAGTCACCCCAAATTGGGAAGGATCTTTATCTTCCCCTATCTCTCCAAATAGTCCTGTACCTGGAGTGACCCAGGTCTCAAGATGATTCTTTTCTCACAACCATTTATGAGAGAATCAAATATCATGGTTATGACTCTGTCAACCTGTCTCCATCCCCAAGACACACATATACACACATGTCAGTGTCTCGAAGTACTTTAGGAAGTCATTTCTCATATCCAAGACAAGTCTTATTTTCTAAATAAAAAGCCCATTTTTTTCTTAGTTTAAGAATACTGAGTTACAAACTGGATTACTTTGGAATCTTTTATTTGTTGGTTTAAATATCATGAGAAGTTATTTCTCCAATACCTGCCTGTAGATCATCAGTAGGAGAACTTACTGCTTTGTCTGTTGTTCATATCTTTTAAAAATAGAAAGCAGAGCCATCCATGTGGTCTGTAGTAGACACACCATAAAAGAGAAATATTTGTTTCCACTCCTGACTTCACTTTTCTCCTTTGGATTATTTGAGGGTTCTGCCCTGGGATGGCTTCCAGGATATGCTGGGCAGGTCCTCTTCCTTCTTACTATTTATAGCCATTGGCAAACCCAAAGGCATTGACAAGGTTGTGTGGGTGTTTACTGCCATGAGCTAAGGGGTCTCTGGCTGCCTTTGGTAGTAACTTCCTTCTCCTGGAGTTGACCTCATCCTGTGACTCTCCAGTTCCATTTCACAGTGTCTTCCTGGCTCTTTAGCACTGTAATGGGACCAGGGGCCAAAGGGCAGGGCTAATTTCCAAAATCGTTACACTATTTCGCTTATCTTCATGTTGGGGACAAAAGACCTACTGTTTTCCATCAGATTATCAAAGAAGTTGGTGATCCCACAGAGTTAAGAACCACTGGCTAGAAAGAGATGGCGATCATTCATTCAGCCCAATCCATGGCAGCCTCTCCACTAGTCCTCCTTGATATGTAACTGGTCACACTGCTACCTAGAGCTGCAATGCCTGTGGACTCTAAAGCCCCTGGGACACGTCCCTGACTCTGACTTGTTCCAGAGGGTTCTCCTGGCACTGCCTGATTGCCTGTTGGCTCATAGCAGCAGATTTTCTCTTGCTTTTGTGTGTGTGTGTGTGTTAGGCATTGCTATCCCCACTGGTTTTAGCCCACATCCCTTTCAACCCTGGAACAACCAGCTTCTTTATTTTTTATTTTTTAAATTTTTTTAGGTGAGGCAACCCTTGGTTGACCTCACAAATTGCAAGGACCTTGTCAGCTTACAATCCCTTATTTTTTATTTTTTACGCCTACAGCACCTGGTCTTCCTAGGTGGTCTCTCATCCAAGTACTAACCAGGCCCGACCCTGCTTAGCTTCCAAGATCAGACGAAATCGGATTTGTTCAGGATGGCATAGCCATAGACACAACCAGCTTCTTTGAATCATCCTCCTATGTTTGGAGGGATGAGGGGCAAACTGTATACAAGTTGTCTCATCTTGGCTTGAACATTTACCATGGTACAATATGGTATAGGATTTAAGTGAGTGGGCCAAGGACAGGGCCATTTACTTTTAAAAGTAAATTCATTTCATTTCACAAAAGACCTATTGAGTGCCTATGTGCCAGGCACTGGGGATACAGTAAATAAAACAGACAAGACACCAGCATTATGGAGACTGGCAGGCAGAAAAACAGGTAAATAAACACGCAAGTACGGTAGTTACAGATTATAATAAGTACTAGGGAAAAAATAAACAAGATGATAAGTCTCTGGAGGAGGTCACTTTAGGTAAGATGGTTTAGAAGGCTTTGTCAAGATATTTGAACTGAGACCTGAAGAATGAAGAGGATTTAGTGGCTAGTTTTATATGTTTAGGGTTATAACATTGCAGGCAGAGGGAAAAAGAAGACTTCCTGGCTTTGTCAAAGAAAGGCTTTGTCAGATTTGAGAAACAGAAAAATGATCAGGGCGATTGACTAGACAGAAGGAAAAGGAAGACTAATAGGAGATGAGATTAAAGAGATATAAAGGGCTAGCTAGATCATGTGGAATTTTGAGAAGCATGTTGAGTGTTCTTCACTTAACTAGAATTGTAATTGGAAGCCATTGGAGGATTTTGGATGGGAGAGTAATTTAATATAGTGTAGTTTGCAAGATCACTCTAGTTGGTATGTGTATGGAAAATAGATTGAAGGCAGACAAATGAAGCTCAGAGACAAGATGCCATTTCAGTAGATCAGGCAAGACATAATGATGGCTTAGTCTAAGGTATAATGGAGAGCGAATGAATTTGGAGATTTAATTTGGAGGTAGCAGCAACAGGATTTAGATGTAGGGGTTGAAGGAAGGTTGGGAGGAGGGATTCAGGATAAAGCCTCATTTTGGAATTTGTGCAGCCAGGTGCACAAATGTGGGTACCATTATTGAAACAGAGAAGATTGGGAGAGGGACAGATTTCTGGGGAGAACCATCAAGACCTATGTTTTAGATGTAATAAGTTTGAGATCCAAGACATATCAGGTAGTTGTACAAGAGTCTGGCTGGTACTCAGGGGAGAAGTTTGGGTCAGAGATGTAAGTTTGGACATCATTGCCTGATAGATATTTAGAAAGAACTAGAGGAGACTAGATATAAAGAAAAGATTGTCCAGGATTGAACTCCGAGGCATTCTAGCATGTTCAGGTTGCAGATGAGGAACCAGAAAAAGATAGCAGGAGTAAGGAAGAACCGAGAGAGCATGGTAACAAGAAGCCAGGAAAGGAGAGTATTTCAAGGAGGAAGAGGTAAACTGTGTAAATGCTGCTGAGTGGTTGAGGAACATGACAGTGAAGAGTCTTTTGGATTTGGCCAGCAATTATTGGTAATTTTGAGGGGCAGGTTTAGTAAAGTTGTGGGAACAGAATCCAGATTAGAGCAAATGGCAATGTAAATAGCAGTCAAGAAGGTGATGATCGTGGGTGAAAACAATGTATTTATAGTTTTTCACTCTGGATGGAAGCAGAAAACTGGCATGATAATTAGAGACTGAGAGGGTCAAAGAAGGGTTGGTGTGCTGATGGGGAATAATTCAGTCAAAGGGAGAAATTGATGATGCAGGCAGGAGGGAGTGGTATAATTATGGAAGATAAAGCTTTTGAAAAGGCAAATGGGATCTGGAGCTTAAGTTTAATAGTGGGGACACTGTCATCCATTATAACAGAAGGGAATGTAGATTTAGATGCAGGTTAGTGTGTAGAGCTGACACGATGGGAAGATGAGGGAATTCTTGATCTTAACATCTATTTATCTCAGTGAATAATGAAGTGAGAATACCCGCTGGGGATGGTTGTGTGCCTGTGTGTGCATGTATGACTATAAGCACATGCACACTTGTAGAGTGGAACTTGAGGCAGTAAATAGATATGAGACATGATTTGATTAGTTTTGACTGATTAGTCCTCTTAGAGGAGGGAGGAGATAATCTGTTCAAGCTCTGGCCCTAAATACTTAGTTCCCACTTAGGGTTAATAGGCAGGGCAGTCGCATCCTCAGGCAGCTGGCAGTGGATGATGCTCTGCTAAGAGTGAGATTTTCTCCCTTATCTTGTAGGATTGTAAGGATTAACACTGTCTGACACATGGTTAAGTGCTCAATAAATAGGAGTGATTAGCTATTAGTTTAGGAAGACTGAGGGGTAGAGAAGACAAGTTTTCAGGGACCTAAGGCAGCGTTCCCCAACATTTTTGGCACCAGGGACTGGTGCTCCTATAGAATCTAATGCCCGATGAGCTGAGGTGGAGCTGAGGCGGTGATGCTAGTGGTGGGGAGTGACCGCAAATACACATGAAGCTTCTCTCACTTGCCTGCCGCTCACCTCCTGCTTCGCGGCCCGGTTCCTAACAGGCCACAGACTGGTACTGGTCCACAGCCTGGGAGTTGAGGCCCCCTGCCCTAAGGGGTCTCTAGGATGAATCAAAAACTGAATGAGCAAAGGCATGAGAGCATACCCTCTCATGAGGGCTGAAGTTTGCCAGGAGTTTGGACTGTGAGACTGATGTGCTCGCCTTGAGCAGAGCAATCCGGTAACTTCTGGTCATTATTGCCCCTGCCACTCCTCACCCCCAGCTGGGCAGTCTTATCAGTCTCAGCCCACATTGCATATTTCTCTTTGAATCACTCTTGTTCCTGCCTCCGTTCACTGAAATGAAGTGACTGCTGGTGGTAAAAGGTGTCCCCACCTCCCAACCCATGAATATCTTTTCTCCAGTCTAGATAAATGGTTGTGGCTTGGATCAGCTCAAGGGGTCTTTGTGAGGATGCCAATCTGTAGTCTGTCAGGTTCTTGAGATGATATCTGCATTGATTTCTTTCCTCTCTCTTCTTGGAGGCTAGCTATGGAAGGTGGCTGGCCTTCATTCTCTAGTCCTTGGTATCTTAAATCCATTTCTTTGCCAGGTTGATACATACCTCCTACATCTACTCTGTGCCCAGGGATTGATCTTAAAGATGTGCATTTATCCAGCCTGTTTTTGTGAAGACAGGCTGACTTGTCAGGTCAGGCACATGCTTGGAGAACTCAGGCCTCTATTGGTTTCTTTCCTAGAATAAGATAAATTGGGTCCATATTATTCCTCTGTCTGTGTCCAGTACTCTCCAGGAGGTCCTGCCTTGGCATATACCAAGAGAGCAGCATTGCACAGACATTCCAGACTTGTTTTTGCCTGAGTAGCTAGCTGAGAGCTCTTTGCCCATGATGGGCCCCATGCCATTTCTTCCTCTTTCATGAAATGACCCCATCTTTGGCTGTGTCTTTCCTTCTCTAGCTTCATGGTAAGATCACCCTGTTGGACTTCTGGCTGGCTGAAGGTCAGCTCTGAGTTAAAGTTGGCCTGGCTTAGCTTGCTTTGGAGTACTAGCCACCCATGGGGGTTTTCTTTCTTGGGAAAGATGGTAGCTCCCTCCTGATTCTTAACTTCTCTTTGGACAGGCTGGACATCAATACCAACACCTACACCTCTCAGGACCTCAAGAGTGCACTGGCAAAATTCAAAGAAGGGACAGAGATGGAGAGTTCAAAGGAGGACAAGGTGTGTGACATTCTTTCCAGGGAGTTAGTATAAGCCTATAGGATGGCCTTGAAGGGAATCACGTTTTCCTGAAGCTTTTGCAATAAACATGGAATAATAATAACAATAATATTGTAAAATATTTAAAGAGCTCTTGATGCCCAATAAGTAACCCTTTTTAGGGCACTAAAAATGCCAGGAGCATTTTTGTCATCATTTAGGTTAGGATCCAACTTCCCATTACGTGTTTGGGGAAATTGAGGCCCAAAGCTGAGATGACCATACTCTTCATTATCACAGATGAATGAAAAGAACAGAGGTTAAAACTCAGATTTCCTAGTTTACACTTGGGTTAGGCTCAAGGTTAAAGGACAGAAGTTCTGGGCTGGAAAGGAAGAAGCCTGGGTCTTTGTCCTTTGGGCATGTAGCAGATGTGTTCTCTTTTTCAGGCCTTGAGTTATAGCTATGCCCCTAATGTCTGGGAGAGCTTGTAGATACAGACCTCTACCGGAAAGAAACTGTACTCCTCTTACTCTTAGGTGGATCTCATGAGCTCACGTATTAGCCAGGGAATGTCACAAATCAGTTTTTACATTTCCAGCTGAGTCCTGTCTCTGAAAGAACCTCCTCCAATGGCTGCCTTAGAGACCTTTCTAAGTTCTCCCTTCCTCTCCTCCTCTTTTGCTTTGTGTACCTCTTTGCTTTGTTTACCTCTTTGCTCTGCCAAACTCTCTACCCTCACCCCAGAATCCTGGCATTATTTTGGAGGGGCAGCATCTGGTTCTTGACAGCTTGTATATTAGTGGAAGAAGCCTTAGGTCCCGCATATCCTTTAGAACTAAGTATTTCTGAGACAAATGAGGCTTTTTTTTTTTTTTTTTTTTTGATGTGAAGGAGGACCTTATTAGGATGTGTTAATATGCAGGCCAAGTCTCTACTCATCTTACCAAAGTCACATCTCCTGGTATGGAGAGCGTATGTAGTATGAGAAAGTGAGTAATAGGATGGCAGTAGCAGCAGCAGTGGGTGAAGGAAAGTGATGCATAAAATTCCATTCTACCACAGGTATATTAACTGAGGTGGGTGAGAAAAAGCAGATTTTTTTCTACCTGATAAATGTGAGGGCAGCAGACAGCCTAGGTGAGTGGAACAGACGTTGGTGTTCCTGTGGCCAGGGTTTGGGCTCATTATCCACTCACCGTGGACTTCACGTGGAGTTGACAGAAACATAAAAGTCAGCCCCTGTTCTTTGTCTTCTCTGTAGATGGAAGACCCACTGCACCTCTGTCTCTTCTCTTTGTTCTCTTTAATGACATTCTTCTTCCATAAATCAGTGTAGAAAAGTATGAATATTATGAAAATATTTTTAAATGTAAAAGAGATTATTTCAGTTATTGTATTTTTTGCAATTAAAATAATCACTTCATAAGTTATATAAATGTCTAACCATTATGCTGTACACCTGTAACTATATATCATTGAATGTCAACTGTAATTGAGGAAAAAAAAAAAAATCCTCTCCCCTTGCAAGAGGAGATCCTAATACCAGTACCCAAATGTATGATCCCTGAACTGGCTGATTTGAGTCAACTGCCACTTCTGAGGTACAGCTGCCACTCTTCCCCGCCCCCTTCTGTGGAGTTTAGGTCGTTAGCTCTTTCACTGAGGTGTGGGGGCCTGGAGTCTTTCTCTTACTTTCATTTATAGCCTGTCTGGACTGACTTGCTCACTGCCAGTGCACTGAGACTGGCAAATAAATTGACTTGAAGTTGGTTGGGGAGTTTCCTACATGTCCTAAGCTAATGACTGCATACCATCCTACTTTTTGTTTATCAGTCTTTAAACCCAGGTTTTATGGATGGTGACTTCCAAGTACAAGATAGTACTTTTTGTTGTTTATAAAGACAATACTGTCAAATAATTGTGCCTTAGCCTGTCATATATACTGTCAAATAATTGTGCCTTAGCCTGTCATATATACCTTAGTATATATCAGTTCTTCCTAGAGTCACTTCCTTTGTGGAAAAGCTCTGTCCCACTCAACAGATTTGGGCTGTTACTATTGAATCTGACCCCTTTATACCTCTGTTACCATACAAATTGCTTGATGTTTTATGCTTTATGTTTTAGCATGTCAGCTGTTTTTCACCTGTATTTTATAAATTGTTGCATTTTAAAATATGGCTTTCTTAAACTTTTGATTCTAGACAAGATGAAGTAGACTCATTTCTCTTTTTCCCTCCTGCTAAGGACTAAAAACCCTGGATGTAATACTAAAAGTGATTCTAAGAAAACTCTGAAATGTAGGAAGAAGGCAGACTAGTTAGGGACCTTGGAACTTTTGAGGAATGATGTAGTGGTGAGTTTCTTGGGCTTTCTTTTTGCCCTCTCTATATCCCAGAGTGGGCACTGGAGAAGCCCACATCTTGGAAATGCCAACAGGTACAGATAGAGAACAGCCCTAAGAAAGGAGTGGGAAAAGGGCAGTCTAATAGGACAAAAACCTTTTTGATAATATCTGTCCTGCTTTAGTCAAAGACCATGGAAATCTTCCTATCTCCATCCTTAGTGGAAGTTGGATGGGGAACTTGGATTTCCATTTCCTTCTTGGTGGTAACAAATTGTACTCTCATTCCTCCACCAGAGTAGTGTCAGCCGAAGCTGAGTGGAAGCCTGAACTTGTACTCCTTCCTCGTGGCAATGACATGATGTGAGGCTGTGCTCTGCTACCTCGACCAAAGTGGCGTCAGTGAGAGCTGAGCAGACAGCCTGAATTCCTACCCTTTTCCCTCCGCTTTCCCCGCTGGTGTGCTTCCAGCAGAGACCAAGTGATTTTCACTATCCACATGGGGTAGCAGGCTGTTTTTCCTATTGGGGTGAGATCAGCAGAGGCCAAGAAGGGAACCTGAATTTCCCCTGCCTGGCAGCACTAAGGTGGTTTTTCGCTTCTTCTAGTTGAGGTGATGCCTGGGGACGGGGGTGCGGGTAGTAAATGGAGAGTCTGTACTTTGACCCTTCACCTGGTGGCAGTGAGGTAGTGTGATGCAGCACTCTGCTTTCTATTCTGGGGCAATGTTAGTGAGGTTAAGTGAGGAGGCCAGCAGCATTGAGGCAGTGCTTCAATTCCCCCACTAGGGTGATGTCAGCAGAGGCCAAGAAAGGACGTCTACTCTTAATGTCCAGCATCCATTGGTGGCAGATAATGTTCTTTTTCTATCTAACTAGGAGGTGGTGGTAGGATTTTAGAGAGAAGGGAGCTAGAGGAACAGATCTTTCAGATGAAGTCCTGGACATACTTCCTAGTGACCTACACAAGAAACTAACCAGAATTAACACAGCAAAAGATTTGAGAACTAAACTATAGTGCAAAATACTGCCCAGGTTTTTAGATTAGCTTCTGGATAGCACACAAAGGAAGCAGACCAAAATGACACTGCAAAGTCTCTGAAAACTAAATTATCTTAGAGTTATAGCTACACAAGAAGGCCAGAACCAGCATATTAAACCTAAACAGTGTGACTGCCTACTGAAAAGGAAGATTCAATAGGATTCAGAGTCTTATACCTTAGTACCCAAAATGTCCAAGATACAATAAAAAATCACTCATACCAGGAACCAGGAAAATCAAAACTTGAATTAGGAAACACAGTTAGATGCTGACAGTGAGCTGGCTCAGAAGTTGGAATTACCTAACAAGGATTTGAAAGCAGCTATCATAAAAAAGCAATTATGGACACTATTAAAACAAATGACAACCTCAATAAAGAAATAAAAGATATAAAAAAAGAACCAAATGGAATTTTAGAACTGAAAAATACAACTAAAGGGTTTTTTTAGTAATCACTGGATAGGCTCAGTAACAGAATAGAGATGAGTGAGAAAAGCATCAGTGAACTTGAAGATAGATAAAAATTTCTTAATATAAATAACAGAGAAAATAGATTGAAAAAAAATAAACAGACAGAGACTTAGGGACCTATAGGACTACAGGCATACCTGCTTCACTTTATTGTGCTTCGTAGATACTGTGTTTTTGTAACATCTATGCAAGACCCCCCACTAGCAAAAAGATTACAACTTACTGAAGGCTCAGATGATGGTTAACATTTTTTAGCAATAAAGTATTTTTTTTAAGACACAGTACTGCTGTACACTTAATAGACTACATTGTAGTGTAAACATAACTTTTATTTATTCTGGGAAACCCAAAAACTGTGTAACTCACTTTATTGTGATATTTGCTTTATTGTGGTGGTCTGGAACCAAACCTGCAATATCTCCTAGGTATGCCTTTATAACAAAAGATCCAACATTTGTGTCAATGGAGTTTCGGAAGGAGAGGAAAAAGAATATGGAGCTGAAAAAATAATCAAAGAATTAAAGATGGAAAAGTTCCAAATAAAGTGAAAGGCAGAAACCTATAGATTCATGAAAACTGAGTGAATTCTAGATAGGATAAACCCAAAGAAACTGACATCATGATGCATTGTAGTCAACCTTTTGAAAACTAAAGACAGAAAAACTCTTGAAAGCAGCTAGAGACAAAAATGACAAATTATCTATAGGGAACAATGAATGCCTGTGAAATTTCATTTCAAACCCTGGAGGCCAGACTTATGTTTTCATAAAACATTTTTCAAGTGCTGAAAAAAACCCAAACTGTTCACTCAGAATTTTATAGCCAATGAAAATATTCTTTGGGAGTGAGAGGGAAACCAAGACATTCTTACACAAAAGTAAATGAAAAGAATTGTCACCAGCAGAACTACCTAGAAAAATGACTAAAGAATAGAATATTTTTCAAATAGAAAGTGAAAAATAACAGAAGAAAACTTGGAACACTGGGAAGAAAGAAAGAACAGTGAAATGAATAAAAATAAGGGAAAATATAGACTGTCCTCCTGAGTTTTTAAAATTGTTAGATAATTGAGGCAAAAATTATGACATCATCTGTCACTCCATATACATTCAGTATGAATTCTACTGTCAGGGTTACCACTTTTGTTTCTTAGCTGCACTTTTATCTTGGCCAGTTTTCTCTTTGGATTAAACATTTTTATGAAACATTACACGGGTTATCATTTGAGAATGAGGAAGCCATAGAGCTACATACTTGACATTGTGTATGAACTGAATAATGGATGCACAGTGACCAGTCACTGACAGACTTTGAAAGAAGTGATGTCATCAGCTAGTAATTGTGATGTGTATTTGTTATTTATGTAGTGATTTGTGAACTGAAGAGCTAGCAGCAAAGGTGGCATTTTATGCAATTATAGTTAATATACTATGACAACTGAAATTTGTGTCATGTTAGGAGACTGATGTTACTTAAACTGTGGTATTTGAAATTGGTGCATATCTAATCTGTGAAAAGCAAGGGTTGTCTGTATCTGATAAAAGGCTTTTGTATTTAGAATATAAAGAACTTTCAAAACTCAGCAGTAAAAACCAACAGCCTATTTGGAAAATGGGCAAAGGACACGGACAGACATTTCACCAAAAAGGATATGTGGATGGCAAATAAGCACATGAAAAGATGTTTAATATCATTAGCTATTTAGAAGTGCAAATTAAATCCACAATGAGATATCACTATACATCTATTAGAATACCTAAAATAAAAATGATAATAATAGTAAATAATAGGATGTAGAGAAACTGGATCTTTGGTACTTTATTGGAAATGTGAAATGGTACAGCACTCTGGAAAACAGTTTGGCAGTTTTTTATAAAACTGAACATACACTTATCAGACAGTTCAGCAATTGTGCTCTTGGGCATTTGTCCCAGAGAAGTAAGAAGTTAAACTTATACAAAAACCTTTATAGACATGTTCATGCAGTTTTATTTATAATAGCCGAAATCTATAAAAACTCAAATGTTCAACAGGTGAATGGTTAAACAAGCTGTACATCTATACAGTGGACTACTACTCAGCATTAAAAAGACATGAACCATTGATATATATGTAGTAACTTGAATAGATCTCAAGTACATTATGTTCAGTAAAAAACAAAAAAGCTAATCTCAAAAGATTATAGACTATGTGACTCCATCTATATAACATTCTCCAAATGCCAGAATTATAGAGATGGAGAACAAATTGGTGGTTGCCAGGGCATAGGAACGGGAGGGAGAGGGTGGGAGGATGAGGCACAGCTATAAAGAAGCACAATGGAGTTGTTTGGTGGTTATGGAACAGTTCTGTAGGTTGATTATTCTGGTGGTTACATGAATCTATATATTGGGTAAAATTGAATAGAATGGTACACACACACATACATGGAAATGTGTACCTGTAAAAGCTGGTGAAATATGAATAAGACCTATAGTTTAGTTAAGAGTATCGTACCTATGTTGTTTTCTTGGTTTTTATATTATGCTATCGTTACGTGAGAAGTTACCATTGGAGGAAACTGAATGAAGGGTATATGGTATTCTCTGTACTATTTTTGTAACTTCCTGTGAGTTTTTAATTACTGCAAAATAAACAGCTTTTTTTTTCTTCATAAAAAGGTCTTCCTCAGGGCCAAGCACACATCATTTTTGTGAGACAGGGCTGACTAGTTTCTTATCCTGCTCACTTGCCAGTCACCCCGCAGCTCTAGGCAGTGATTCAGCTTTCTTAGACCTCTTTGCCTGGCCAGAGTCCTCTAGCTGGGTGTACAGAGAGCATTTCACTGTAGTTTTAGCCCAAACAAACAGGATATGGCATCTCGTAGATGTGATTACTCTGCTAGGAGCTTGCTCTTTTTAAAGAGAGTCTGATTCATTTCTTTGGTTGGTGTTTCTATGGAGTGCTTATAATTAGAGAGAAAACCTAAAGGTGATAGATGAGCAATTTGGAACTGACAGCTGCTCATCATCCTGTTTTTTATAAATATTCGTGTCTTTTAATTTTTCTTGGATGATAGAAACAAACCACTGTAACATTTCAGATTTTATAAGTACTATCCTCTAAAATTGGGAAGAAAACAGAGTATCACAGGTATAAAATATCTAATTAAAGTCTTTTATTCACCTCCAACATCACTTCATTTTTAAAATCTGTATATATGTGGGATGGGGAGGGATTGAGAGAAAATTATTTGAGATTTGAGTATAGTACATACAGTAATTTAGCCACTTCAAACAGTTGAACAAATTGTGCACCTGTCGTTAGATTGACAGTAATGACAGTGATTTAATTTTCATCAGTAAATTGCTCCCACTCTGACATCTCTTTACCCACAGTTTCTTATGTCCGGGTTTCTCTAAAATGTTACTGTATTGGGCAGGGTAAAGCCAAGATAGTCTGTATTTGTAGAATATGGAGAACCAAGGTATGGATTATTCTACTTTAGCCTTCAGCCTAAATTAAGGGTAGAAGATGAGCTTGCATTATTTCCCCTGACCTCAGTGATTGCAACGAGACTTTCTAATCTTCCTGAACATTGGAAGTTAGACTGGGGTAAGAGAACCTTAGAAAATCTTGAGTGTGATTTTGGGACAGAGAACTATATAGGTAGACTCTGAGGGCTCTTTTCTCTAGGCATCTTAGAAGGTGTCAGGATTTCTGATAGTACAGATAAGAGAACATTTTGAGTCCTGGAGAAGCAGTTCTTTGAGGATGGGCATTTATGGTCGACCATGGTAGTCTTGGGGAGATGTCTCTAATCGCTTTGATTAATCTTCTCTTTGCTGCTCTCCTTAGGCAAGGCATGCTGAGATTAAACGGCTTTTCCGCCCCATTGAGGAGCTGAAGAAGGACTTTGAAGAGCTGAATGTTGTCATTGAGACTGACATGCAGATCATGGTACGGCTGATCAACAAATTCAATAGTTCCAGCTCCAGCCTGGAGGAGAAGATTGCTGCACTCTTCGATCTTGAATATTATGTCCATCAGGTATTTCTTTGTCCATAAGTCTGACTTTTAACTGACAGCTCCAAAAATAAGCCCCCTTCCCTAAGCCCTAAGAAAATACATCAGCATCTTTACTTCTCTCCCATGGTATTCAGTATTTTTAATGTAGGCCAATATCTGTTGTAGTAAGATACATTCTTAGAGGTCAGAACTATCCTTTAATTTTTCAATGCTGAGGATACAGTGGAGGTAAAATAGATGTGGTGGTCCCTGTTCCATATAGCGTATAGTCTGGAAGGGGAAATAATTAAATAATGAACAATGAACAAATTAACAATTTGGTAATGAGATGATTTAAGATTATATTTACTCCAAAGGGTAAAGTAAGAGTATATAACAGAGGAACTTAGCCTTGCCAGGGCCATTGGGAAAGACTTCCCCAAGGATGTGACATTTAGGTTTAGTGGCTTAGCCTTAAAGGGGTTGGCTTGGCAACCAGGGGATATTAGAACAGGGGATGGCAAATTATGGACCATGGGCCACATGTGGCCCATGATTGCTTTTGTAAATTGTTTTGTTGGGACACAGCCAAACCTATTTGTTTATGCATTGTTTTATTGTTTTTGGTTGTTTTCATACTACAATGGCAGAGTTGAGTAGTTGTGACAGAAACCACATGGCTCACAAAAGCCAAAAATATTTACTGTCAAGCACTTTAAAAAAGTTTGTTGGACATGGTTCCATAGTGTAGCGGTTAACATGTCTGCTTTACACACAGAAGGTCCTAGGTTCGTGCCCCAGTGGAGCCACGGTCCATGGTCTACGGCCATGCCACCCTGAACAAGCCCGATGTCTGATCTCAGAAGCTAAGCAGGGTCGGGCCTGGTTAGTACTTGGATGGGAGACCACCTAGGAAGACCAGGTGCTGTAGGCATAAATTAAAAAAAAAGTTTGTCAACCCTTGAGTTAGAGCATAACAGGCAGAGGAAACAGTATGTGCAGATTCTGAGGCAGAGAAAAGCTTGGTGTGATTGAGGGCCTGGAAAAAGATTAGAGTGATAGGAGCACAGAGACCAGGGGATGAGGTAGCAGAGATGAAGTGGAAAGGTTAGGGAGTCAGAGAGATGGGGTTGGGAATATCATACTCTTAATGATTTTATCCTTAATCCTAAGAACCATTGGAGAGTTTGAAGCAGGAGAATGACTGATCAGACTTGTACCATAATTATAAGCTAATATTTATTGAATATTATGTAATAGGCACATATTCAAGTGCTTTGTACATATTAATTTATGCACTTCCAGTCACAGCTCCCTTACGAGTAGGCACTACTATTAATCCCATTTTATAACTGAGGCAAATACATTCACACTTGTGAATGCCCAGGTCACCCAGTTAGTGAGTAGTAGAGCTGGGATTTCCAACAGGTCTGCCTTACCCCAAACTCTGTGCTCTTAACCTTTTGTCCATTCTTACTCTCACAAGATACTGGTACCATCTGAATGAATCTCAAAAGAGAATAGATGAATCTAAGGAAAAGGAGCTAGGAGAACCCATTTATTTATTCATTCAATGAATTAATTTATTAGGTGCCTACTAAGTCCCAGACACTGTTCCAGGCACTTGGGATACATCTGTGAACAAAATTGGAGCTTTCCTTCTAGCAGAGACAGACAGACACTAAACATAACTAATAAGTAAATTATAAATAATGTTCAAAGGTGATAAATACTATGGAAAAATAAAAAGTAGCGCAAGGAAGGGAAGGAGCATCTCAAGCAGGAGAAACAACAGTATCTTTAATCCTAAGATGGAAGCATATCTGTTGTGTTTGAGGAACCACAAGGAAGTCAGTGTGATTGGAGCTGAGAAAAGAGGGAGAGAAGCAGGTGAAACCCAGAGATAATGGGAGGAGGATCATGGAGCACCTTGTAGGCCATGGGAAAGAATGAAATTAGACATTATTAGAGGATATTGAGAAGAAGAAGGACATCATCTGATTTACTTTTAAAGAATCCCTTTGACTGCTGTGTTGAGAATTAGACCAGAGGCAGGAGGCATAGATGGAAGCACGGAAACCAGGTAGGAGGCTATTGCAGTAATCCAGGACAGGGGCGATGCTGGCGTAGGGAAGCTGTGTAATCATAATCAAAGGCTTGTTTGAGATCCTCATCAAGAAATAGATCTTCACCATCCTTCCATGCATGATAGCGTTCTCTACAAGCTAAGCTAAAAGACATTCATTCTTTCTTTAGGATTTGCTAGCCTTTGTGATGAGAGGATGAGTGTGTACTGTATTTGCAGGAATAATGGGGCAGCCACTTCATCTCTCTCTGCTCATAACACTTTCTCAGGCTTCAAATAGCAGGTCTGTGATCCTCTTAAAGAAAATGGACCTGGGTTCTCTTTCCTCTTTCCAGTCTTTCTCTCCAGAGTAAAAAAAAAGGAAAATTCCAATAGCTTTTCTGTTATAGATATTTAAAGAATTAAGGATCCTAGGGGTTATTGGCTAACTCAGTCCTGCTCTGCTGTTGAAAGCTTTTATTTTTTCTCATCTTAGCATACTTGAATGGATCTTTTGGTACCAGGTTTCTGTAGGCTCTTCCTTTAGTTGCAGTATAAAAGGCCAAAATGACTAGAGAGCTTATTGTACCTAGAAGGTAGTGAGTACGTAGGAAGCTAGCAGGGCCCCAACAGATTTCTTTTTCCCTGAAAACTTGGTGGTCACTCAGCAGTGTCATCTTTAGGGCGACATCCTATTTTGCTTCCATAGGTCACTGGTTAGGGTAAACAGTTTCTTAGATATCACTAAACTCATCCTCAGGTCAGCAGTCCCTTGATGGAAACCAAACTTGCTATGTTAACAGAAGAGTCATAAATGTTTTGGGTCATTAGCCTTTTGATTAGAAATATAAGGTCCGTGGTTTAGACTGGAATGTCGGGTTTCCATGCAACAGTATTAAGTTGTGATTTCACAGGGAGATTAAAGAAGACACAGCTTGGCCTCAAGTTCCAGTTGCAATGGGAAATTGAGGTGATGTAGTGCTAGCTTTGAAGAAGATAGGACTTTTCCTGCCAGAAACTCGACCAGGCCACTCTTGTTCTAGACTCACTGATTGGAGGTTTTGAGATCCATGGGCTTCAAGGACCCAAACTGGATCTGCCCAAGGATTTCTCACAGCCATATTTGAGTTATTAAACAGGATTTGTGAAAAGCAAAACTGTGTGTGTGGAAAAGAGTTTGTGAGTTTGGGGCAGTGTGTTTACCTTATCTCATATGACTCCTCAATTATTTACCATCATTTCTCCCTTTCTCTGTTTCCTTTTCTCTGTCTTCTCAGTGCTCTGGTTCTCTTTTTTTTTTGCCTCCTGAGTGTCTGCACAATTTTCTACTGTCTCCTTCCTTCTGCTCTCCTTCCCTCTGCTTTGAGCTCCTTTCTGCCTGTCCCACCCCATCCTGAAGGCAACCTAGGAGAAGTTATGGCCGTAGACCCAGATTTTGGAGCTTGATCTTCTGGGTGTGCAGTGGACAGAATGACTCCTTTCTTCCTCATGTCAAGTGACATAACAAATGAGAAAACATCTTGAGAGTGCTTATCTAAATGTCAGCATTTATAACACCCTAAATTATCTTTGTAGTAATAAAGATAAACTGAATCCAGAACAGAACTTTTGTGACTCTGGGCCGTGTTGCTTTGGGGCTGTCAGACTGGCAGCTGCTCTGCTAGGAACGCATATAAGCTTTGATGAGTAGCCATCCCAGGCATGGAGTGACAGGACTCTGAGCCATGGTTTTGTATCCAGAAAACCTGGAGGAAGGAGGATCAAAGCAGAGGCAGTGAATTTTTAGATTTTAAAATCAGAATATATGAAGAAGGAAAGCTCAGTAAGTATTGTGCTCATGTCAGCAAAGCACCCAGCTCTTAGTCTTCCTAGTTAGCTGGACTATGGCCCAGTAATCATTCTTCTTTATAAGGACAGATTAGGGTAGAAAATACTAGCCCTAGCTTGGGAGCCTTTATGGCAGAGCAGACTCTATATTTACTTCACAACCTTGGATTGGCCATCTCTTTAGGTCTGTGTTACAAGGGATCCATCCATTTTCTTGGCACAGATACCCCAGATTTCCTTTTGTACTCAACAGTGGAGTTTATTTCAGTAACATTTTTTTCTGATCAAATTGATTCACTGGTTTAATGATTATTTATTGAGCACCTACTATATGCTCAGCACTATTCTAGTCACTAGACCTGCAATAGTAGACAGACAAAAACCCCTGCTCTTGTGGATATTACATCAGAATGTATAAGAATGATTTTCTAAGTGGTAAAAACAGGCTTGGCCCTCCCAAAACACAGGTAGAGTCAAATACAGCCCTTCAAACTCGTTTTCTCTGTTAGAGCCCTCTTATAGTTTGGAAAGACACAGTTGGGTAGGAAAGGGCTCTGTGGTGTCTGGAGGAAAAGGTGGACAGCAGTCATGTTGTTGGACTCTACCTTCCTGGATTTTCCTGATGATTTGTAGAGTGGGATCAGCATGTGGGCAAGAGGCAGCCTTTGTAGCAACAAAGATATTTTCAAGGGAGACTTGTAGCTACCGTATGAGGAAACAGGATCCAGAGACCTTTCTGAGGAAGTTGTGTCTTCTTGTTCCAGGATACTAGTGAAGCTCGGGGAATGCGATCCCCTCTTTTATAGAATAGAAGAGAGATAGATCGTCTCACCTTGGGACTTTGAATCTTAAATGATAGCCCAGACCAATGCTGTCTGATAGAACTCTACATGATAATGGAAATGTTCTGCACTGTCCAGTAATATCCAGTAGCCAGTAGTACATGTCTAGACTAAAGCTTTTGAGTGAGAGACTTTTGTTTAGATTTTATCATGAAAGTCCTCAGATTCAGTCAACCTTAGACTGTATGAAGTGAGGAAAGAGAATGGTATTATTGTTATTTCTCTCCTATCACTCTTCCAGGTCCCTCTCTCCCTGCAGCAGGTTTCCTCTTATAGTCCCTGACTTATAATTAAAAATCAGCTTTTTGCTTTTGGCTGCTGCCTCCACTGCCCCCATTGGGGGTGGACTTCAACAGGAAGGATGGTGTCATTTGGTAGTGCTGACGATGCCAGATCTTTGTGTCAATAGCTTGTACATTAGGAGTAAGCTTTGTGACTCATTACAGTATTAGAATTTTCCAGGACATGTTTGGCATAAGCAATAGATAGGTTCCATTTCTGCCAGTTCCCATAAATCATGTTGTATGAATTTAGAGTTCTCAAATTTAAGATTATTTAAAAATTTAGGTTTTTTTTTCAAATTCTTTCCTAGTTAGTCAGAAATGCAACCATTGCTTTTACTTGACTTTTTAGTTTGTTTTTGAATAGTCACCAAAAGAAGAAGCTATCAGAAGAACTCTTTCCTTGATGTCTGTACTGTACTAAGCAGTGCCTTTGTTGCAGATGGATAATGCACAGGATCTGCTTTCCTTCGGTGGCCTTCAAGTGGTGATCAATGGGCTGAACAGCACAGAGCCCCTGCTAAAGGAGTATGCTGCGTTTGTGCTGGGGGCAGCCTTTTCCAGGTGAGCAGCAAGGATGCACATCCCACTTGCCAGGATTGTTTGGACCCTTCAGGTGAATTCTACCTTTACTCTTGTCAGATTGGCTTGGAAAAAAGTTACACTTGAACTCATGCACATACCTATCCACATTTCATGGTGATCGCAATGAAACTAGAGAATCTGATTTTGCTCTTGTTCCAGGCAGATAAGAATTTTCACCCATGTTGTCACCATTTATGACTGTTTCCTTCATATATGTAGATGGATATTTAATGACATATTTTAGATCATAGTCTCTGTTTTATTCAAAGCTAATAAAAGTTATACCCACCATAAATAGTTGAGAGGAAGGGGGATGAACTCTTAAGAGTTGATCTTTTTGGAAGTAAAGCTACATATCTTAGGCAATGAATAAATGAACATGACCACAGAGGGCCTTTTGTCGGGGGGATGTGTCTTTCCCCTAGATGTCTGGAACCAATCAATATGCAGTTAGATTATTAGACTCTCTGGGTTGGGAGTTGTTTAAATTTAGACTGTCTCGTGCTAGAAGATTGATTAGGCAAGAGGAGTGGGGATATAGCATCTCCGAAGAGTGGACGAATCAAGATATGTGGGCACCACATCATTATACTAAAAAACTCAAGATGTCTTCAAGCCGCAGTCTGTCCACTGGAGCTATAGTTCCTTCTATTTTTGAAAATCTGTTACGAGGACCATTTATGCTCTTAAAAAAGGAATCAATATTCTGATTCTTGCTTCAAGGGCAGGGGTGGTGGCTATTAGGGGTTACCCTTCTTGGATGTAGGGATCATGGTATTGTAGGAGAAAGGCTATTCTGAACATGTTTACGGTCAGAGGCTTTGTTTTGAAAAGATTTCCTTTGCCTTTCATCCATGCTTATTTTTAATTAATTAGAATCTCAGTCTTAAGAAAAGCTTCAGCATCTTTTCGTAGTTAATTGAAGGGCAAAGCTGGGAAGGCCAAAAGAATTGTCCCGTGAAGAGAGGCCGAGAACAATGTAGGCCTTTGTTTCCCTTATCACTAACCTGCCTTGATCTTGAAGTTGTGGTTGTCCTCTTGTTGGCAGTCACTGGTTGTGGCCTCTAAGGCATTCCACCTCCCTTGATCTCACCTACCAGAGCCAGACAGTCTCCCAGGAAGCCCAGGGAAATCTCTGCTTGTGCATCCCCTGGAAAGGTGGCAAATCTGAGTTTGTCAATGGTAGCTGTGATTTCAGGCCTGGAGAAGTCCTGGATCTTATCCTTGTAAGGCTTTAGAGGCTTGAGCACTTACTGAGGCTCAATTTTTGTGTCAAAAGCCTTAAAAGAACTAAATCAAACCTTATTAACCTTTCTCCTCAGACCTTTTTTGGAAATTTTTTCTGTAATCCCAAGTACTTTGTTTCCACTTTCAATATGAACAAATGATCTTATTTGTTTCCTGCCCTTGCTTCTGGAAACACATTTCTTAGGGGACACTGTGTAGCATCTTGATGTCACTTCTTAGTTTAAGGGAACTAAGGTACTTGAGAAGTATGCATTGGGCCTCCTTAGCAGGCCATAACTCATCCAGGAGCTGTGCCAATATGTGGTGTTATTAAGACTTTTCTGTGATTGTATGAGTGTAAGACCATGTTAACGTTTATGCAGCTTCACTAAAATTTAAATAAAGATAAATATAAAATATTGCAATTTATATTTTTGGTGGCAAGCATACTGCTGTATTCAAAATGTTTTAGCCAGGCTTTTGATGGCTCACTGGAGGGCGGTTACAATGATAGCATGGTATGACGCCAGAGCTTTTGGAAGCCAACAGCAGGCTTTTGAACATCATGAAAATGTCAGTGTTTTATACAAAGAGGGACTTGATGCAAGGTAAGAATATTTCTATGCAAGAGAGATAGGTTTCAGTGCTCTAGTGTGATATTCATTATTTCCTCTTGACGTCCTAAGTATTGATTCTGCAACTCTTCCCCTGCCTTCAGCATACAAGTGTACACACACATACTACACATGTGCACATACACACACAGTGATTGGATGAGCTTGCTCTTTATCAAGAGGGTATTCAAGGGATAGTGAGTATGTTGGAATCATGGAGCCTCAGGGTTTGTAGGTTTTATTTAAAGGTCATTCCTTCTATTTTTTTGATGATGGGCAAGAATACTGCTTAGAAGTCCAGACGTTTGAGTATTTGGGAGGACTGGGTAGCCTACTGTACCTAGAGTTAGAAAATCTAGGTTCAAGTCCAGTCTCTGCCATTTCCTAGCTCTTTTGCCCATCGGTGAGTGATTTCACCTTTCTAAGCCTCACTTTTTTCATTTATTAACTAGGAACAATAATAAGTGACTTCTGCATTTCATAAGGTTAAGTGAATGTGAAATAACATAATATACAATAAGCCCTGTGAAAATACTTGTAAAGCACCTGCCAATGATAAACGGGTATCATGTTCACCATGTGTCCTTTTTACTATGAGTTTTTACTATAAGGCAGTTCTTACTTCTTTCTTTTTACAGTACAAACCTTCTCATTTTCTTTTCTGTTAAGATGCTTATGTTTTACCACACGGCATATCCCTTGGTGCTAATCTTGCTGCTTCATGAGGGTGTTTATTTGCCTACCTGTCTTAATTGCTTAATAAGGCCTCCACATACATCTCTATGGATGAAGAGATCTTTCCCCTGGTGTTAAATGTGAAGCGATTATTCCAAGATCAAGAAGAAAGAGTTAATGTAAATATAATTGATGTGGCCACTGAATGTTACATGGCCACAGAAATAGTTTGTTTTCTTATTTAAGTGTTATTTACACTATGGGTCATAATCACTCATTTTCTGCTGTTTGTTACCCATGTATATAAGGCAGGTCAAGCTCTTAGAAGATATGCAGAGATAGAGAGAGAGGAGTCTGATACTTTTGGCAGCTTTATCTTTTTATGGTTTCTTTCTTTTTTCTTCCTCTCTTTCTTTCTCCCTCTCCCCCTCTCCCCATGTTCCCTTTTCTTCTACCCTTTCCTTTCTCCCTCTCCCTCCCTCTCTTTTTCTCCCTTCCTTCTCTCCTTTCGCTCCCTTCCTTCCCTTCCTTCCCTTAAACTTCCTGTCTTTTTCAATTCATTTATTTTCAGTGGCCTTTCTATGACCTGATTTCATTTCATGATGGCATCTGGGTGTATCTGTCTGCAGTTTGACCTACCAGGAGTTTGTAAAGTCCCGGACAGGTCATTTGTGTTTCTGTGTATAGGAGGTCTCAGAAAAGCCTTGTGAATTTCAGAGGCCATGCAGCCTTCTGTAATCTGGTTTTGGTTTTACTTCTCAGCACACTGGCTGCCTCCTTTTGTTTTCCTCTTATTTCCCTATATGTAATCTTTACCTTTTAACTGTGAGGAATTAAATTATCAAGAAATTAGTGTTCTTTTATCCCAGGGAGCACTGGCTTTTGTTGTTCTCATGCCCTTGCTTCAGTCACTTTTGGTGTCCTGTTTCCATCTTTAATAACTCACAATCTCATCTACATATGTATGAGTTATTATGCAATTACATGGGCTTGTAAGTGCTCATTGTATACAGTACTTTTGTTTGAATTGTCCACAGTTTGTAGGGTGTCATGGACCTCTGCCTGGCATAAAAAGGCATGTACATGTGGCATCGGTTATAGTGCGATTATGCTCTGTTGTGATGGATCCCTAGAACAGGATTCTGTTCTATTCTTTCTCTCCTTGGCATCTTCCTCGGAAACTTCTTAGCAGATTTTGGGTTACATAAATCTCTTTATAAAAGGAATGTCTCCCCCGCTTGTGACCCTGCACCCTCTCACCTCATTCTTTGTTGGCTCTCTAGTTTCCTCAGTTGTACTTTTCCTACTGAAGTTTTGCCAATTCATTTTTAACCATTTGGCCATCTATTGGCCTCTAATTTCCAGATTTCTTTTCTGCCATTTTCAGTGAATTTCAGTGCTCATCTACATCTTTTCTCCTCTCTTTCTTGATGGTTTTTGTGAGCTTACTGGGGATCAACATTCTCAACTGCATTGACCTTTATCTTTGCTTCTGTTACCCACGAGCTATCTTGAAACTCACTTCCTATTTTTTCCAATATCTCATGTTCTCTGACCACCTCCGTTATCTCTTCACATTTTCATTTCTCCTGTTGAACATGGTTTTTATCCTTATTGGGACCACCAGCCTCGGCACATCTTCCTGTTTTTCCCTTTATCATTAGTTCTCCTCACTCTCTTCCTTCTCTTTAGGCTCCTTCCTCTTATCCTACAAATGCTCTCAGTTATCTATCCACCTATCCCTGTCCTATCACCAACTTGTCCATCACCCCAAACCTGCCAACCAAAATTTCCCTTCTCTTCTAAACTTCTTGAAAGTGTAGACAGAAAGGGACCCATATGGGTGCACATGAGCATTATGCTCCTACTATCCCTGAAAATTTTCAAGCGTATTTTGAAGTCATTGATTTCTCTGTAGCAGTCGAAATCATCAGCTTGGAAACATTACCTCATGGCTGCCATGTGATTGTAGTAAATAATTGTATATTGGTAAATAATTACTCCGTCTCCTTTTCCTTTTATGGCAGTGTCATCTTCTTACTATCTCCTAGTTATAGCTATTCATTATGATTTTTTTGGCCTTGTCCTCTTTTTCTTTTCATTTTCTCTGCCGTTGGTCCTACCTATTTCCACCGTTTCAAATCTTACCTCATCATGGGTGACTCCAATGTTGATGTTGAAGTCCAGCCTCTCTCCTCAGGTCCCATCCTCTATTTCTACCAGGCTACTTGCACTTCAAACTTAAGGAGAAGAAAGTGAAATTTACTTTTCTCTCCCTCAAAACTAGGTTTCCCCTCCCACATTCCCTTTTTATCTATTCTTGATGATATGATTGTTGTAGTTGCCCTAGCTTGAAACTTTTGAGTGATATTTGAGTCTTTCTTTTCCCCATTTAATTGGTGAATGAATCCTGTGGATTTCTATTTCCACTATTGTTGACTACTAAACAATTATTTCTTTTTT